TTTGGAAGATATTTTCTGTTGATATTCCCAAATTAAATTCAACAACTGAATTTTATCTTTTAGATTTTCTGACTTTCCAAAATTGCACAAATACCTTGAAATTTCCTTTATCTGCACTTTAGCCCCTTTTGAATTTTTCAAATAAAATCTGATTTTGGGCCTTGAATTGTCATTTGGACCAATAAAACTTATATTCTCATCTTCACAAATAAACATTAGAACATCCAAGAATAATTTATGCACTAAAACTCACTTTTTATGTCTCTTTATTTCCCAAACCCAACAATTTCAATCATCACAAATTCACTTAAAATCAACCATTTAAGTACAATTATCCCATCAAAACTTTGAATTTTAAAGCATAAATGTGGGCATAAGTATGCACTCATCAGCTAGTCTTCTCTTTTCCAAGTGAACAAGTTCCTTACTTCTCCTTCCTTGGAACAACAAAGGAACATTCAAGAGGCTGGAGACACTCATCATCATTTTTGTCATCTATCCCTTTTTTACTGCTCAAAATATCTAGAGTAACTAACTCCCTTATTCATTGGGGTTGAACGTAATGTATCTTTATCCATCGTGATTTTTGTTATTCAATATACTTCCTTTCCATTACTTTTGTGTTATGTTCATATTATTAGTTGCGTTATTATTGATGGCTTATTTTATGGTATTTGATTATTGGAAAATAATTTATAATCTTGATTTGGATATAATAACTAATAGATTTTGCTTATATATATAAAGTTTAATCAAATAGTCATTATAAACATCTGAACTTAATTCAAACTTCTAGTAAAAATATCTAAGAGATTAGGTTTTTATCAATAAAGTTTAGACTTGTCTTCAAGGAATTAGGACTCATTAGGTTAAGTGTAAATGCTAGAGTAAAAAAGTTGGAGGTATGTTGTTTAGTGTTTTCATTTTGAATTGGTACATGAACTCAAGCTCGGTGAAGTCTCTACCACATATTTTACATCATAAATTTAATTGCTTTCTCGAATTTAGAATTATCTATATTACAAATAAATTCATTTCATTATCATAGTTCTTAGTCTTAATCAATAAATAATCATAGTTTCACTTAACAACACTAGTCTCTTGGAAAAACAATATCTAAAATTTTCACTTTATTACTTGTGCGATTTGATACACTTTCTAATATCATAACATCTTCTTCCAATAAAATCTAGAAAGAATAACTTATAGTTTAAATCTTTTATTCTTTAGTAGATTATAAACTACTAGCAAAGGACACACATTCATGTGTCAATAAAGATCTCTTTGCAATGAGTTTGACATTCACTTCTAAGCATTTAATATGTTCACTTTGAACTCAAGTTTCACAAATTAAAATTGAACTTATATTGCAAGCACTCATTGTCCAATTAGAATTTGTAGAACTTGATGTCAAAGTACACTTTAAATATGCATTAAAAATTAATAAACTTTATAAATATAGATTAGAAATTAAAGAAAGAACCTAGAAAAAACAAATATTTATTGAAGTTAAATTTTAGTTAACATATATTTAGCTATTTTCAAAAAGTATGTTACTTGATTGGTTTAGTTTTGTAATGTAAATTTTCTTACGTATTAGTATTAATGTTTAGGATGTGGATCACTTATAATTTATATTATTTAATTTTTGAAAGTTTGTAACACCTTATTTTAAGAAAATATAACTATTAAAATAAAACATAAAATGATTTATATTCAAAGTAGGTGATCCATAACTTGGGGGCTATTACAATTATCCGAAATAATCATAGTAACATGATATATACATACATATACAACTCAAGGAAACTTATAATACTTATAATATGTTCTACAATGTTTCTTAAAAGATCTTACATACATATATAACTCTAGTCTAAGAACTCAATGACTACATCATTTCCCTCTTGAGACAGATGGCCTCCTACTTGCTCATTTGTTTACACTAATCAATGATGATCATTACAAAAGAAGAAAACAATGCATGAAACACAAACACAAAAGAGGTGATAACCTCCTCCTCAAAGCAAGGTAACTCTAAAACTACAAGAGAGTCTATGGTGATGGTAAAAGTGCAGAAGCAAAGGTGGATAATGGGTAATGATTCTCACAACTTTTGATGTTTATGGTGATGGTGGGGTGGTGTTTAATGGATCTTAAAGAGGTTAGGCTAACTCTAGAGGAAGGTAGCTAAAGGAGACCATATAAGGGTGGAGACACCTCTATTTATGGGCTTAGGGTGTCTCCAATTTGTAAAAGTAAAACACTAAACACAAACTTGACCTACCTCGGAGACCAAGGTGAAAATCTTCTCCATTAGGAGGTGGACATGTGGCCACTACCTTAGGAGAATCCTCTGAAATGAGAGCATGACACATGACCACACTTATCAAAGGTGGGGTGTCCCACACCAACCTAGGTTAAAAACTTTGACCACATGAGTCAACATACTAAGGAACGTCCACTTAGGTCAACATTAAGTGCAGACTTTTGTTGACCTAAGTTGACAAAAAATTATACACTAAATAAAGGGTCCAAAAAGAAATCCTAGACTACTTGACCCATAAAATTATACACTACTTATCACCATGTAGTACACTTACAATAGTCATAGAGAGTTATATCATACAAATAAGGACTCGTCTAGACTCAGTTATCTGGAAAAAATGTATTGATGTCGAACTACATGAAAAGTTTGCAGTTGTGATGGATAACCTCCACCTACGAGGGTTGTCCTTTTCCTGTCATCTAAGCTCCAAATTTGTTCTCTAGACAAGGACCTCTCCTACTACTCTTACCACCTAACTCATCCTCCTCTATGTGAGTTTGAATGGTTAGTAAAGTGTCAAGATAATTTTCAATACGAATCCCTTCTTCAATGCATACCCTAAGAAACTTAAATCAAAAGGATTTCCTCTATAGAATCCCTTACATTCTCATTAGTTCATACCTTATCAACATACATACTTTACACTTCATATCACACTCTCAAGTATAGCACAACTTAATAGCACATATAAACTATTTTAGATTTTAAAAACAAAATTGAAGCTTCCACAAAACTCATAAGTGTTCTTTCATTCGAATTAAATACAATTGAATCAAGAATTCACTACAAAAAGAATCAACTTAATTGGTTAACTATGTAAAATGTTATGCACCAAACAAGCAACAGTCAAAGCTTTCAACAACCTATACTACGAGAATCATACGTGAAAAATTTCTCTAACTACAGATCTCTAATCAAATATCCTAATGATAAAAATTAAGAACCATATGTCTAGGACCTGCTGTCAAAATTTCTGCTCGATTCGAATGTTAACAAAATGGAAAATCCCATTTTTCTCGAGATGACTCGGACTAGGAAAACAGAGTGGCGCTCATTGTGGCCTTGTTGCCCAACAAATACAGGGTGTGCCCAACGAGAGCATCTATAGAACTTTAGGATTTAAATCAAATAAATGGTGCATTGTGGCATGACAATGTTGCCTAACAATATTAGGAAACTCAAATTTCATCTTTTGAACTTTGATTAAGTAATTTGATACTCTTTGGGCTAAATCTCACTTAATAAACCTCTTTAATACATAAACATTTTGATTCTTGAAGCATAGATTGTCAAATTAACTTAATTAAAGATCTCATAAGAGTATTCATGCCAATAATTAAACCTAAGATTTCATGCGTCTCATAACTCAAAAATTGAATCAAAACAAGCTGTAACATTTACCTTAACATATATGATTAAATCGATCAACTTAAACTCATACGAATTCTAATATCAGCTTAGAAACAACAAGACAAATTTGCAATCAATTTTAACTGCTCATAACTATCCACCATGCCAATAAAAGTTGTTGGAAATGGAACAACAAATGTGTTGGCCAATAACCAAAAGGGAGTGTCATACTAATAGACAAATTAGTGTAAAACTATTAGGCACTCTACAATAGACATATTTACAAAACTATCAAACTATTCTTCTAATAGATGACATCTACAACCACCAAATACAATATCTTAGAAACAGTTTAATACATTAAAATCTACAAAATTTCCTTAGACGCAGTTGCTTTCTTTCAAAATTACTACTAACGATCCATGTTCAATCAGTCCAAGCAATGCATGATTGTTTCTGGACTTCCTGAACACATGCAGGATTCACCTTGTTATCAATCCTTCTCACTTCAATCACCTATTAATTGGGAAGGAAGTGATATTTAACATCAATATTTTATGTCCTACCATATTGCACATGATTTTTTTTTCTCAGGATATCGCATTCAAAGTACTGCACAAGGCAAGTAATAAACATTCAGGTCAATCTAAATTTTTATTTTAGACTACCCATGTAAAACACAAATTTCCATTTTCAGATTCTCCAATTCACAAAGATACTACAAATCCTGAAAATAATTTAGAAATTTTTCATAAATTTAAATTACGATTCCAGAAAACATAATCCGATATAACTCAATTGTATAATGAATTAAGTAGTTTTCTATTTGTTAAAAATATTATAAAAATATATGGAGACACAGCAAGATAATGGGATACAAGATGCAGCGTAAATTGAATCCAAAGAAATAAATATAAATAATCCATACACATCTAGTGTAATAATTTTTTATGGAATCTTTTTAGAATTATACATTTGTTTTTATGTCACCCTGCAGTATACTTCGATATAATTTTATCCAATAATTTATTTTACTGTTTTTCATGTCTATGATTTTGCCAAGTTTTATTACTTTTTTGTTTTACTTGATTTTTTTAATAAAAGAATAAAATTTATTAATAAAACAAGTACTACATCCAAAGAAAATTCCTGTCTTTTCATGATTTGAAGGACAGGACATCCGTCTACGAAAAACATCCCACACGGGGTTGACATTACATAACACCAATTGTGTAAAAGATGTTATTACGCAATAATCATAATTGAATTTTTTAATCTAATTTCTATAATTTCAGAAAGGAAAATAAAACCAAAACACAGAATTAACTAAAATATTACAGTTTATAAAAAGAAAGACTAAAATATTCCAGGAACCCATTCAAACCCTAACATAGCTTCCATGGGTAAACAAAATTAGCACTTTCGAATACACACGGAGCTGAGAGACATAGGGAATCTTGAAAATGTCATTGTGAATGGTAATAGCTGTAAGGGTATCATGAACTAACTATACTAATAATGAATTTTACAAAACTCGTCTATTGACAGCATAACATTCCGATTTATGAACAAGGAACAAATAATATAACAGCCAAAATAACTCTGAATAACTCAATGGAATCGTACTTCAAGTGAGTTTACGCCATAGCCCTCCCTTGGATGCTGTTAAGCACTTCACTCGTCGGAAAACGAAACCAACCTTTGGAGGTCTTCCGTCAACAAGTGAATTCTCATATATCTCTTTGCACTCTTGGATGACCTTTTTCAACAAAAGAAACATTTTTTCAATTACAAAATCAATCATTTCACCAGCCTTCATGAAATAATTTTACGTGGATAAAACTTCGATTAATATGTTACGGCATCCTCTTAGAAGTTGGGAATAACTGATTCCCCCATAAAGATTCCCACACAAATAGATTCACCAAGAATTTAAAGTACAAGCCGAGTTAAATTGTTAATTTATAGGTAGGGGAATATCTTCAACGAAGAAATTCATATAATAAAATCAGAACACTAACGAACTCCAGCAGTGAACTTGATTACAAAAGAATAAACCAAACCTAATTGTGTGCTTATCTTGAAGATATTTCTTGAGTTTAAAGTAAAATGTACCTCTTTGGCATCTTTCCGAGGAATGCCTTCTCGTAGATTAACAAGTTTCTCAACAACTTCAGGCTGAAACAGTAAAAAAATATGCTTATCCACAGGATAACTCAAGGTAGAAATCTTAATTGGTTTGAAATTCGAAGCATATAAAGCTTGTAGAAGTTAATTTTCTAAGCAAAAGATAAATTATGTAATAACTTGGAACCCGTCGCAAAGAATATTTCTGACTGCTTAAAGAACTCATACTTCCATTTGAAAAATGCAAATATTGAAATTAGATTAGGCAACATGACTTTACCGGGCAGTCAGGTTGATGTTCAAGTATATTGGTATAGATGAGTGTGAAGGTATCCAGGCTCTCTGCTGAAGCAAGTTCCCTCAAGTCACTAAGTACACTCACTCTATTTTCAACTTTCTAATCCAACATGAAGGAAATTAGAGTAAGAAACTTGGGCTGGAAGTCAAGATTAACAGATGTGGATCTTGCACAATCTCCACGTTAGAAAGCAACAGTAACAAAAGTTATACAAGGAACTTACAGAAACACTGATATGTTCCCTAAAGAAATCCATGATAACCTCCTCATCTAGCCTCATCCGTTCAATAGTTTCTTCCTTAATGTAATTTTTCTGCAATTAAAATATCAGTGACAATCAAGTCAAATAAATACAAAGCTGTTAAAAGAAAATCTGGACAACTTTGGTTCATAAAAAAAAACAGCAAGTGATTTATTGACAACAGAACCTGTGTTAAAAGATGATCAACATAAACAATCACTGTTTCTTCCAGACAGGCTTCAACAAATCTCCTAAAAGATCGCTCTTCAATATACCTTGAATATGAGTAGTTGAAAGTTAGTTTTCCTCACAAATAACATATTTAACAATCAAATTTCAAATAAATTCAATAGAAGCCATTCGCTCTAGCAACTTATACAAAGAAAATTTTGTAGCTAATCTGCTATGAATAATTTAAGAATATTGGAATAAGATATGACAATAAATGATAATAAATAAAAGTAAACAATAAATACGAGAGAAGAATAAAAAGTATTGCCATTAAAAATAATCCCGAAGAAGGAAACTAAATTCCATCGCATGTATTATGTACTATGAAATATAATATATTTAAATGTGAAATTAATTTCATTTTTATTTTGTTAAAACACTAAAGTGCGTGCAGCACCGAAGTCTAAAGCAAGAAGGCCTTTTATTGTAAGTGAGAATGGAAAAGCTTGACCGCAACTGTATTTGGATAATCAAGATTAAACTTACTTAAAGATTACATGAGCACTTTAAAAATGCACATCACTTTGTTCTAGTCAATCATACATATAAATCAAATCGTCAACACTTTGTGCTTGCTTCTATTACTCTGAAAATAAATACAATCTCATTTTTTGTTAGCACACGTGTGGTGGTGGGTATTTTCCATCTCATGTTATGAAATAATATTTTTATGTCTATCTCCAGGATCAACGAGTTTGACAACCCTGCTAAACCTTAGAAGTTTAGCAATCTATAAAAATTGCCTGTGGAACCCTACTGAACACGTAACAGTTTCTACACAGATACCCGAGAAAGTGCCATAGCACGTATGAAAAATTAAACAAAGTAAAATTACATAGACAAGAAAATATACTCACATTTTAACATCGCCAAAATAATCACCAAATGTTGCGACCAAGTACTCAGTAACCTGCCCCTCACTCCATTCTGATAAATGCAAAGAAATGAAAACTCAAGTTTTGCACTAGACGAGGTGCTAAAGCATTCAACTAATGATGCAAAGGAAACGTAGTAAATTTTACAATGAGGATATTGTACAGGATAATGATTGATAATAGTATAACATTAATCAAAATATGCAACTACTTAGCAGCAAGTATCTAGTACAATACAAGAAGTGTAAACTAGTATTATCACAGGCTTTAAACACTTAACAATAATTTGCAACCTATTATATCTTGAAATTAAAGACAATGTGCATTTCCTGTTTAACTGTATGAATTTATTGCAGGAGTGTATGCAGTTCCAAAAACAGGAATACTGCTAAAAGGAAAAAATCCCAGGTAAAAGTTACAAGCATAAACCAGAAAGACCCAGCTAGTTAATTGAAAAAAATATTTTACCTTTCTGGTATAGCTTCACCAGTAACTCCTGGACACCAGGATCTTCAAATATCACACTAACCGTTTGATGCACAGCTTCCTATCACCAAGAAGATATTCAATGTATGAAAACTGATATGTAAAATTTAGAAATAAAACATCTAATTTTCCACTTTAAGTCATGGCTTCAAATCCTAAAAACAAGCTCTCGTCTTAGAGGGATAAGGTTTTGTAGATTTATCTCCTGAAACCCCACTAATTAGAGACTCGTGCACTGAGTTGCCACCTTTTATTACAAAGATTTGTCACATCCATTTTCCTTTATTTTAGTTGGTTTTTCCTGTTTTGCTCTTATGTTTAGGAAAAACCATTTTGTGCTCTTTTTGTAATCCTTTATCTTAATTAATCTCCGTTTTATCAGATAATAATTATTATAATCATAGAAATAAGGAGTTGATCCTTTATAATCATGAATATCTATATACATATTATTAGGAACTTCTATTAGTTAATATAACAAATCTTTGTTATGAGGATAACTCTCTCCTCAATTAGTGTATTAATTCCTTTTTCTTAATATAAATAAAACACTTGTGCTGTCTCCGAAACACAGTATCAGCTTACTGTTTCTCTCTTCCCTAAGTTTTCCAATAATAATCAAAATATAAAAAAATTATCAAACAAATACTTGGTGAAAAGATTATGGCATATATATAGAATTAGCCATATCTGTCATACACAACTCTTGATCATTTCTAAACAACTACACAAATTTGTCATGCACTTGGATAAACAGAAACACCTGCAGCTAAGATTTGGCATTTGGCTTCTATTTTTGTTTTTGAAAGCATGGTCATTTTAAATTAGTGGAATTTCCCAAACATACACACAATACAAGGGAATGATTTTTTTCTCAATTGATTTTTTTTCCTAACGTTATCCTTTGTTTTTGCTCCAATATCAACTGTCAAGGAAGATTATTTATCCTCCAAACTTCTAGTAATTTCATCTCTTCATCATAATGCAATGATTTATTAAATTATAATTTATGATATATGTGTAAATGGCTGTGATCTACTTTAGACCGATGATCAATTCTGTATGTGATTAAGGACCTTAACTTCAAGGATTTTGACAAAACATCAATCAATTTAAAACCTTAGTTTATATCACTTTGAATTTCACAGAATGAGGCATAACTGGTTTCCTATCCACAATCATGCGATCTCATGATTTGTATCACATTAAAACATCTGAGATTATTAAAATAATAAGTGTGAAGAAACAAATACATACAAATATTTGCTATAGAGATGATGTCAGAAAATTCCATGAAGAATAAATGCTTGTTGAAGATCAATGTCAATTAAATGCATCAATATTTCACTGAATAATTCCTTTACAAAAACAACACACCCGAGAAACATGCCAATAAAAAATTGTACTCTCCTCCATACCTTAGCTACCTCAAGAAAACCCTTACAGGTATCTTCAAAATTAACCTGTAGTGAAACAAAACAGAAACACATGAAAGTCAAGAAAATGATTGGGTAATTAATCATAAGAATGACAATCAGGCGAGTTTTAGACAATTTCAAAAGAACCAAAATATTAGGAACAGAACAGGAAACAGATGGGTTTCATCATTGGTGATTAACACATTCAACTTGGTGATACCCAAGTGGAAGAGAAGCAATCAACATCAATCTAGAATTCTTAAAAAGCTCGGTTAGTTGGGCTAACCAGCCCAGGTTCTACTACAAGTAATTGAGAATCTTTGTTCTGAAACAACAAATTCTTTTTAACCAAACTAGGTATGCAAAAACATCTACACAGATTGCAACCCCAACTACGTCGAAACTCCAAACTATATCAATCATTTCACCATACCTTAAATTTATTAAAAAAATAAAAGAAATACAAACCAAGAGGGGGCCTCCAGTCTCCGAAACAAGGTAGTTGATATTTGCATATCAATAGTAGGAAAGGAGGAGGAAGGAAGGTTATGTTTTCTATGTGGGAGACAATGTTGGGCATTTCATGGGTGTCTTAAAGAAAGTTAATAGTGCACTTTGGAGGAGGACGAAGCAAAGGAGAAATATTAAAAAAGGTTAAATTATGGAACCAAATTCAAATGTTGATCAGGAAAGCACAGTTTCCTTTAAAAACAAAGATGTCCTCTACTGGGAGTGATGAGTCACCATTCTTCATTATACACTTAGCTTTCCGCACCATACTTTGTTAGTGAAGTGTGTTTAATTCTCCATTTTTATCTCATTTTCACTATTTGGGTTTAATTTCAAGACTAATTCTTATTTTAATTAATTTGAATGATTTGGGCTAAATTCTTTCAATTACTATTTTGCAGGACAACCACTGTTTGAGAGAATAAGTGCACATAATAGCTTACCGAACGGTCTGCGAAAACCAAGCCACACCAGATCCACTTGACCAAACGGCCTTATAAGCTGCACTGAATGGTCCGAACGGCCAAGAAAGTCTTGACCGGAACGGCCTTAGAACGCCAATGCCGAACGGATTGGGGTGACTACACAACATGATCCGAGAAAGCCTTGACCGATCGGATATCAACCGAACGGTCTCTGAAGGCTTGTCTGAATGTCCATGAATGAGTACCGAACGGCTAGAAGGATTTGACCGAACGGCCTTGCATGCCTGCACTGAATTACTGAGCGCAAAGCTGAGGAGTCCTTGACCAACGTCTGGGCCGAACAGCCTTGTGAAGAACACACGAACAGTGACCTTAATGGCCGAACGGCCAGAAGCAATGATCAGATGCACAAGCCTATTCTGGACTTCAAGAGTACGACCTTCTTTGATAGAGCCCATTAGAAGGGAATTTTGGTCTTTTAGGGTCTATAAAAACCCCAAATCAGATTTCACACACACCTCCTCCGCCATTTACGTTTTCTGCTAGGGTTTAGCTTTTTGGGGGAGTTTCTTTTTTCCTCCCCCTTGGGGAGGTTTAGGTGTTGCCTTTCTTTACTTTTATGTATTGAACTCATTCTCTTACAATTCCATGGTTGAATTTGTTGTTGCACTCAAGTTCTTCTTCATTTACGTTCTCTACAATGTACTTTTCATCTTCATTCCCTTTTATTTAGTTATATGCTTCTGCCATTCAGTTTTCACTGTTCAATTGCGTTTTCCAAGTTCTTCTCATTTGTGAATTTACATTTTGGATGCCTTCATTAGTTACGTTTCTGTTTCTGGTGCATTTCTCATTTAAAATTTCACGTTTCGTTATTTGAAGCTTCGTTTCTACTTGTGTTTCATTTCTGCCATCATTTCTGCGTGCATTCTGCGTTTTTTTGGTTTATGCACTGTTATGCGTTGATACCGATCGGTCACTGCATTTAGACCGATCGGTTTTAAGCTCGTGTTACTAAAAATCGTTCGGTCTCCTCATCAGGACCGTTCGGCCTTGTTAGAACGTTCATCTTGTGAACATACCTCGGCTCGGTGCTCCCCATTTAATTTAATGCTTTCAATTCTACTTACATCTTTATTTAATTTCCAGTTTAATTTAGTTTAATTGCATTCACAAACTCTTTCAAACCCCCCCCCCCCCCCCACTCGTGTTTGACCTAAGTCTTGAACACATTTGGTCCTTGAGAGACAACCTAGGAGTCACTTCCTAGTCTATATGCATTCGTATTGCACATCAAATTTGTATGGCCGCGAAGCCCCATCAAGCATTATAGAACTTTCTTATACGCAATTATTAAAGAACAATTCTAAATTAGTAACCAAGTAAATAATGTGAATGATGAAGGTGTGCAAGACATGGATCAACAGGCAGGCTAGCTAAGGGGAGAACTAGTTATGCGAGCATAGCTGGTAGTAGACACACACCAGAAACAGAAATAACTAAGGAGGTAGTTATACAAGCTTACCCAGAGGTATGCTAATAGGAGAAGGGGATATGATGGGAACAACTAGCCATTTTTGTGGTAGTTTTGGAAGAAAATTCGTTTTGTCTTAGGAACCTGGATCTGGGTTTTCCATTTGTAAGAACTTAGACTCATCAAGCAAAACATCTTCCTTATACTATTTTGTTCTATATGAATTATTTAAACGGTTTTCAAGAAAATCAAAACTATTGTGGATAACGATGGTTTGCTAAGGGAGGCTGTGACATTGCTGAGTCACTACCAATTATCCAAGTCATTCAGGTGAGCATGGACTAAAAACATAGAATCCAAAACTTGAGAGCCCATCTTGGAAAAATACGTCATATTGGTTACAATTTTCTTAATAATTTAGTGCAGTGTTGTTATGTTCTTTTTGAGGATGACAGATTCTCCTCATTCACAACATTCATCAATGAAGAATATACATAACTTTCCCAAAAAAAATTAAAGAACTTTAGTTCCCAAAGGCCATGTTAATAACCAACAGTTGTCAAGTTAATGAAATTGAAACCTGATCAGCATAGTTCTGTGGAAGGGCTTCTATGGTGCTGTTACTTAACTCCATTGCAAGGTCATAGCAACGCAAATTGTTGTTAATCTAAAAACAACGTTATATTGAATGTCATTTTAACAAAAAGCAATCCTATGATGAAGTAATAAGCAAATACTTGGCAAAAAAATTACACTAAAATAGCACATAAAGGTTCCAGACCAATTTCAGAAGCTGGCTCTTCAAGTCTCTTCTTTTCAGCTGCTTGAAAATCAATCATTACCTGTAAAAACACATAGTATAACCTAGGATACAAAGCTACGATATAAGCAGTACGAACTAACACCAATTTTATTATGCTGTGAGGACCACTTCAAATAATTTCTGTGATATCTTCCTCAGTGGTACTTCCAATATGATGTTACACTCAAGTCTCAAAAACTAAGTTCTCTCCAGTTTACCTTTATTCGAGTTTAATTTTCGAACAGACAAATGTATAATAAGCATGTTATGCTACATCTATATCTTATCTTATATTACCTGAATGGTTGCCAGGGCAATTCTGTATAACATGAGATCAGTGCTATTATCCCGAACAATTTGTACTTGTTCACCAAGTATTCTGAAGAGATCAACAGCAGCAGGGGTATATAACTTCCCATCTTCAGTTTTCTTGTGGGGCTGTGTTCTATCTGCCTCTAAAATGTTCAAGTACCATTTCTGAAAACATTAAGAATAAAGCTTAGTCCTTTTCTATGGTAAAGAATTTACCCAAGAAACATCACAGATTACTAAAGCTAAAAGATAAGTAAGATAGTTAGGATTAACCCTAGTTGTAGCTTGCATTCTCTCAACATAGGAGTTCATTAGATCCATTGAACCACTATCAGAACACACTTGGGCGAGAGACTCATCAACTCCAAAGGCCCAATCAGATTATCTTGGTATTCAACCACCCAACCAGTTACCTGTTGTAAAAAAAAAAAAAAAAAAGAAAGAAAAACATAAGCCTGGGTCTTTTTTTTTGCCCACAAAAACATTTAGAGCAATAGAGTATACTGATATTGATTTGTATAAAAGTACACATGTATTGCTGAGTAGCAAATAGTCAATATTAGTTAGCCAACCAGCAGTCTGTTATGGTATTGGAATTAAATGGATTATCCAGTTGTCAGTTCTATAGACAGCTAGAATTGATCGGGCCTTGAGCTTTCAAAAGCCTTCATGGCTATTGATCTTTTCTCAGTTGGCTCTGCATCCAAATTCACTTGCGTTCATACCACCAGATCAGCTTTCTTAGGCAAATTCCTGGACAGTACTCCACTCACTATGCCTATCAAATTACATAGAAACTGAAGTAACAATTTTCTTGTATGGAGAAAATAGGGTGAACCTGGTTCCCAATGCATGTTGACTTCACCAGTTTGTTGTTATTCCTCAAATCCCACCAGAATCTTCTCGAAAACAGGATTTTGGTGTGAATGTTGGAAATCCAGCACTCTTGGGAACATCAAGGACCAGCTGATTTTGTGTTGGCTTCAAACTCCACTCTTTGGAGCTGTTCTTCCAAGGTCATTGGTTGTGTCCACTCATGGCAACTATGTGAGGAGATACACAATCATTTTCAGGAAAGACTAAAGCCAAAACTCGTCATTTGCGAACTGAACATCACATTACAAAAGAAAGGGTGATAAGCTATTGTTCAATTCTTAAGTGACAAAAAGCTTTTGTTGATGGTCAACTTTCAAAGGTGAATGTTTTCTCTCAGAACAGCTTGACAAAATTCTTGGAGGGCTCACCTATGAATATGGAATCTTTGGTCACTACTGATCAATAGTAAATTTGCTGTATTCAACTGTGATTTAAGAGATGAATCTTACCGTCATCTCAAGTGCCTGAGAAAACACAAGGAGAAGCATAAATATCACATTGTCTCTGAATCTCCTCAGGACACCGTCAACTCCATAAACGCTTCAATTTACATTTAGGAAAACACACCTCTAATCAATCTTCCAACCATATGTTAACAACAGTGCAGGAGGATGATCCTCTAATTTTCACGAAGAGGATGGCTTGGCAACAAATCAAAAAGTTTGTTATCAGGTTGGGCCAAGTATGGTCTCATGAAGCTGCTGTGTTATCAAACGTTTATCCTACATACATTCCACAACTCCAGATGTCAGAATGTGTGCCTATGTAATGTTGCTCATCAAAGTGTTCAATACACCATACCAGTGACCAATACAGTTATCTTCAGGCTTATTTACCTAATTCAGTACCACCTAAACCGTCTAAGAACTGGTATGTGGACTTGGGTGCCATATCACATTACTATGAATCATAAACATGAATGAAGTTCCTAACCCTAGCAATGAAGATGTATGCTAGGGCATGGTCCAGGTTTCCTCTCCCTTATTGGGCTTATCCAGGATTCCTTGCCCCTCTTCCCCTTTCTCATCTCATCTCAAACTTCATCTTAATAATGTTTTAATTATTCCTAAGATCAATAAAAAGCTAGTTATTTTTATTCAATTTGCCAAGGATAAATCTGCTTACTTTGAATTTCATCCCATCAATGGCTCATTAAAATCTCAAGTTGATAAATCCTGTTCACCTCCTAGGTGTTTTGGGTCAAGAGGGTCTTTATGCTTGTCCTCATATTTGTCAGCCTTTTTCGAGTCTTCAAGGTGTTCATAGCTCTTTATGACTACTATAAATGCTACTATAGGATAGGTTTTGCTTGGAGAAAATTTATCTTGAGGAAAAGCAAGAAGCAAAATGTTATTCGATCTTACTGTGAGGATAGAGCAATGGCATCCCTCACCTATGAGCTTATATGAGTAAAATAGTTTCTAAAAGAATTAGGTTTTCTAACAGGCAGCCGATGAAGATGTATTATGATAATCAAGCCACTCACTACATTGTGTCCAATCCAGTGTTCCATGAGAGACCAAACACATTGAAAGTGATTGCCATTTTATTCGAGAAAATTGTTGTCCAAGGAAATATGCATTGTGTTTGTTAGATAAAATTATCAACTTGCAAATGTTTTAACAAAATGCTTAAGAGCTCATTGGATTGAATTTATTTGCTCCAAGTTTTGCACATACAATTTGTAGGCTCCACCTTAAGTTTTCCTACTCAATACCTAAGATCCTACTTTACAAATGGACATTTCAATTTATATTACCCTACATTGGGGGAGTCGGGGAGTGCCTGGCCCTTGAGGAGAGAGTAGGGGGTGAGGTGCTACCGAAAGCAGCGGGGGGGCGTTGGTGGAAGGATCCCCGGGCCGCCGGGGACCATGCGAAGACGGTGGCTCGGACCACTAAGACTACGGAGCGAGTAACAACCATATAACCCACAGCACGCCGCGTGGGGCGCGACAGAGCGCGGCAAGAAAGGGCGCGGCCCGACGAAGGACGCGGGGGCGCGGACGAGCAGCCGGAGCTGCCCTCCGGCGCGCAGGCGGCGCGGAGGACAGGTCGCCGGCCACGGGGGCCCCGCCGCCACCCCAGGGACCGGCGGGCGAGCCGACCGGCGCAGGAACCTGAGAAGACCGATCGGACCGAGATACGGTGGGTCACGGCGGCTGGGCGGTGCGGCGTGCGGGACGCCGCTGCGCTGCCGGCCGGGCGCCCGAGGCGCCATGCCGACCCAGGGGGCAGCACCGACCCGAGCGCTAGCAAACACCCATCGCGCCGCCGGGCGGCCGCGGCCGTCCCGAGGGCGCGCGCGACGACGCGCGCGGGCCATCGCGCCGCGCGGGGGCGCCTGAGCCGGGGCCCGAGCGCGCGCGGGACCGCGCAAAACCCGGCATGGGCCCAGGAGAGGACAGAGGTCAGGCGGCGAGGAACATCGACGGAGCCGCGGGGGAAATCCGTGCGGCGCCGCGCAGGACCCGACTGGCAGGCGAAGCGGTGGAGGCCGCGCGCAGACTGGGGAGGGAGGAAAGGGAAGAAGGCTAGAGGCGACAAGCGAGGGAAGGCGAAGGGCGACCTGCGCTAGGGGGGGCGCGGATACGCGAGATGGCGACGACCGCGGGCCGCGCACCGGAGGCACGCGTGAGAGAGGCGAAGGCAAAAGCGAGCATGCAGGATGACCCGAGACGAGAAGGAGGCTACGAGAAGGTACTACGGGATCCGCGAAGCATGAGCAGGAGGTGTGCCCAGGCGGGGCGGAGCGGGCGAGAAGGAGATGTGGAGCTAGTCGCGCGCCGGCCGCTCCGGTCGGTGGCCGCCGTGGTCAACGCGGCGCGCAGCGGCAGCCGGCGGAGAGTCCGCGGAGCGGGACGCGCCGCGCTGGCCCGCCCCCGCGTGCGTCGCGGTGAGTCCACCCGGTGCGGGGGCGGCGCGCCCGCGGGGCGCGGGCCAGGCGACGGGCCGAGCCCTGTGCGGCGTCCGGCCGGGCTGCAGAGACGCCTTCGAGCGGGCGGCGGGGGCTGAGCCGCGCCGGACTCTCCCGCGCTGGGCGGCTATCGTGCTTGGGCCGCGAGGCTTCGGCGGCGCGCCCGGGCGCCCGGCCGCCGCGTGGCAGGCCGGTTGGCGAGCGGCCCGGTCGACGCGGGGCGAGGTCTGGCGGCAGCGCCGGTGGCCCGAGTGACCGCGCCGCGGGCGCGGGTGCGGACATAATATAGGGATGTCCGGCGCGCCGCGCGCCGCTCGCGACCGCAGCCGCGGGGCGGGGCACCGCCCCCCGCTAGGCGCGGGTCGCGCCTCGGGCAGGGTGGGCGGGAGAGGCGGGGATGCGACGTGAGCCCGGGCCGGCCGGAGGGGCGGTCCGCGCGGCCAGGGCCGCGTCGGAGGTGACCGGACTCGTCGGCGATAAGACAGAAGCGCGACTATCGCCGACCCGGGGGACGCGCAACAGCCGGAGGAGGCGGGACGCCCCGGGTGCGCCGCTCGCAAGGCGCGCGCGGCGCAGGCGCCGCGGGGCGGCTGCCCTTGGCCCCAGCGCGCGTGGAGTCCGAGGAAGCGACGAGGCAAAGGACGAGGGGGCGGGGAAAGGGCCGCGGCCCAAGGCCCGCACGAGGCGGGCCGCGGAGGAAGAAGCGAGATAGCGCGCGCGGGCTCCCGTGCGGCTGCCGTCGCGGTGGGTTGCCCGCGCGCGGTCGGCTGCGCCGACCGGCAGAGGCGGCCAGCGCGGCGCCGGCCCGCCCGGTGGGGCCGGCGCGCGTCCTCCGTGCGCGCGCGCCCGCGCCCGGCGGCGTGCGCGGGGCGCGGCGCGGCTGGGTCGGTAGCGGGGGCGGCCGAGGGTGGGGGCAGGCGAGTGGGCCGCGGCGGCGCCCGGCAGCCCGGCCCACCGATAGGAGGGGCGCTAGAGCCGACGGAGCAAGGAGGGAGAACGCTCCTGCGCGATCAAGCGGGCGAGAGAGGGCCCGCGGACGGGAAGCGCGGAGGCCCGAGCGCCGCGAGCAAGGCACAGGGTGAGAGAGGGCGGCGAGTGGCCCTGTGCTGCGCCGGCTGGGAGGAGTCGGGCTGCCGGACGATGCGGGGCCGCGAGAAAGAGAGGGAGGGAGGCGCGAAGCGGGATCGGGCGGGAGGCAGAGCGACTGTAGGCGGGCACGGGAGCCGGCGCAGATAGAGGGTCGCGAGGAGAGGAGCGTACTGCCACGCGCCAGCGCGGGGCAAGAGCAGGGCGAGCAATAACAATCCAGCAGAAGGGAGGGAGGGCAAAAACGGGGAGGAGACTGCGCGTGCCCCTAATGCTGGAGGGGACTGAAGACCAGGGAAGGACGCCAGGATGGGAGAAGATGCGGAGAGGATCCCGAGCTGGATTGGGCGCGCGGGATGGACGGGAGGACGGGCCCTGAGAGGCCGGTAGGAGAGAGACGGGGGGGCCTACCGTGGCAGAGCGCGGCAGGGAGAGTAGGCTTACGACCGAAGAAGGAGGCAGCGAGGGAGGGAGCGGGACGAGAAGCACCCGAGGGGGGCGGAGGAGGAGAAGGAGGGACGGCGGAAACAGGAGGAGATGGGAGAAGGAACAGACGAGAGCCGCGAGAAGAGAGCCGGCGAGACTCGCAGGAGATCAGAGGAGATCAGGGGGTAAGGGGAGCGCGAACCAAGAGAGATAGATGGCGCGGGAGAGCGAGGCCAAAGCGAGAGCTGGGGAGGAAAGAAACGCGTCAAAACGGAGAGCAAGGTGGGGGGGGAAGGGAGGAGAAAGAAGGGAAGACTGGACGGGGACGAGAGCTATCAGAAGGCAAGTCCGGCGAGGGGGGCGGGAGGATAGGCGAGGGTGAGACAAGACGGCATAAGAAGAGAAAGGAATAGGCACGAAAGAAAGAGGAGACGAGTCACTGGAAACAACAAGTCAAGGAAGGAGATCAAGTCTGGTCACGGGAAGGCGAGGAGAGAGTAGGAAGCCAGAAGAACACAGGAAGAGAAGGCGGAGACAGCATCAACGAAAGGAGCAGAGGAGTCCGAAAGAGGCAGGAGAGAGGACGACAGTAACCGAGAAGAGTAAGAGCGAAGCAGCAGGGGTCGGGCGCACGACGAGAGGAAAGCAGGAAGCGACCTGAACGAAGAGCCGGTAAAGAGAAAGTATCTAGGCGAGACGACGGAGGAGAAGACAGAGAAGGACGGGGGAGGATGAGGGTCGAGTGGGAAGTAAGGACAGAGCAGACGAGGACCGGGGAGAAGAAGAGGGAACAGGAGTGGGAGAGGAACGTGGAAGAGCAGAGAGGAACAGCGGCGAACGAGGGAAAGGGAAGTACAGGAACGCTAGAGAGGAGGGAAAGAATAAGGGAAGGGAGGAAGTGGCAGGAATGAAGGAAATCAGAGCGTGGGGCAAAGGGAGGGCAGAGATGGTGCCGGAACGGGAAATTCGGGATCGGGAGTAACCGGGCCACCAGAGGGATTCTAGAGAGAAAGAAGACAACGGAAGGGACAACGCCCACATGTGATCGCGCACAAGGGGCGGCGGCCGGTAGGAAACCAGGGAATTGATGCGACTGAAGGAGCGGAGAAGAGGGCGGCGGGAAGACGGTCATCAGGGGAGAGGAGTAGAAAGGAAAAGTCGGTAGGCGGATGGCTGTCTAGGAGAAAAGGGAAACTGAAAGGGAAGAGCAACGGAGGAAAGGAGAAAGAGAGGAGAAAAGGGCGCGAAGACGGCAGTGGACTCGCAGGAAGAGCAATACATTGGGTCTGGACGAAGGGGGGATGAGGCATGAGGTAAGAAAGGGAGAGAGGAGAATAAAATGAGGGGAGGAGGAATAGCGGAAGGAACTGAGAGTTAGAGAGGAGACAGAGGAGCCAGAAGAGGGCAGAGAGGGAAAAGAAAGGGGGGGAGGAAGATAATGACGGTTGAAAACGCTACGGAGGGGGAGAAAAGGAAGTGGGATGACGGAAAAGGAAGAAGGCCAGGCGGACAGAAAGGAGCTAAGATGGCCCGACGTGAGGATGAGGGCTGAAAAGTGAAAGGGCTAAGGGACAAAATGAGGAAAGGGAAGAGAGGAACAGCAGAGAGGCTGGGAGCAGGGAGAAGTAGGACTAGGAAGAGGTTAGAACCAGGGAGGCGAGAAAAAAAGAGAACGGAAAAGAAGGAAAGAAGAAAGAGGATGGGGGTAATATGTACTGAGCTGGAGGTGATAACTGAAGTGAGAGGGGGAGTGGAGAGGAAGAGTACGTGGGTATGTGGTGGATGTGGCGGCAGAGGAGCAGCAGAGGGAAGAGAGACGAACCAAGAGGCACCTGTAACCAAGGCAATTAAAGGTGAAGGCTGACGGAGAGGTTGTGGTGGACGAAAACTGCGAGAGAAGACAGGATAATGGTGTGTAGAAGCGAGGGAGAAGGTGAAAGGGGAAGAGGAGGTGGAGAAGGGGCCAGCGGACGATAGGGACAAAGGGAGAGGCGGGAGGCCGGAAACAAAGGCGGGAAGAGTAAGCTGCGCAGAGGGCGATTGGAATGCAAACGAAGCAATAGGGAAATATGGGGTAGGAGAAAGGAATGAAAGATAGAGATGGCGGACAAAGGTGCTTGCGGGGGGGACGAGGAAAGACAGGGGGAAGAAGAGAGTAGGAAGGCACGCGTGAAGAGGAAGATACTTAGAGGCCTAGAGAAGGGAACGTAAAGGATAGGAATCGGCGAAAGGGGGAAGAACGGGAAGAGATGGAGGAGATAGAGGGATGGAGAGCAAAGGGGGGGCGGCTGAAGGCAGGCGAATGGGGAGTGAGGGAGGGCAGACGAGAGCAGATAGGAGAGACCAGGGCAAGACGAGAAAGGGAGGGCAGAGGGAGCGAGGAAGCGGACGGAGTAGGGGAGGGTAGAAGAAGAGCGTAAACGGGAACAACAGAGTAGGAGGGTACGAGCGAATACACAGTGGACGGAGAGGAAGCTAGAGAGTTCAAGAGGGAAAGAAAGGAAAGACGGGAGGAGTAGAGGGGAAAGAGGGGGAGAAAAAGTCGCGGGCTGAACGTTCGGAGGGGCGAGGCGGAAGAGATAGGACCGGGAAATACCACCAGGGAGGTAGGAAGTCACAGAGTAGAAGAGGCCAAGAGAAAAAGGCAGGAAAGGAGTAAGAGAGACAGTAGGGAGTGGAGCGGGGCAATGCGGGGGGAAGGAAAAGATACAGCGGTAAGTAAATAGAGACAGGCGATGCCGGGTGAAAGATAAGGAAGCAACCGGTCAGAAGGAGGAAAGCAGGCGGGGGAGCAGAAGTCGGGACAATGCAGAGGCTAGAATATAGGGGCCGGGGGCGTCAAGGCAAATAGGAAGAAAAAGGGAGTGGCAAACGGCGCAAAGAAGAGGAGGCAATTATGGGGAGCGAGGAAAACGAGCAAAGAAGAGGAGCGTGACGACGGGGATAACGAGAAGAGGGAAATACGAAAAGAAGGCGGCGATGGACAGAAGCGGCGATGACAGTGAAGGGGGGGGGGGAAGAAAGGTGAGACGGGGACACAAGAGAACGATACGGCGGAATCCAAAGACGACGGTGGAGAAGCAGCGCGGCAGAAAGAAGAGCAGAACGAGCATGAGGGGAAGAGAAGAAAGCACACAGAGTCGAGGAAAGAAAAACAAAGGAACCAAAAGTACACGAGGGAACTAGATATTTAGGAAGTGAATAATCAGGGAAAAAGCAGGCGGGAGTGGCCCCCCCCCCCCCTTTTGGTTCGCCCCCCCCCCCCCCCTTCCCCCCTTTCGCTGTCTCGGCCGGCCCGGCGCTAGGCCTGCGCGTTTTCCGGCTGAGCCCCTGTTTCGCGCCTCGCCTTCCTGCCCGCCGCTTCGCGGGGCCGCCCCTTGCGGTGCCCCGGGGCGCCGCGGTTTGGTTCGTTGCGGCATTGGTTCCGCTCGTGCCCGTCGCCTTGCTGCCCGTAGAAAAAAGGCGGTGAAGACGTGGATATAGTGGCGTCGTCCGCGCCCCCGCGTCAGGTGGCCGCGTTGGGCCCCGTGCCGCCCCCCCCCCGGGCCCGCCGGGGGGGGAGGACGACACTGAAGAGAGCAGCGCATGCAAGGAAGAGCGGCGAGCACGGCGGCGAAGCGGCCAGGTGGAACGGAGGGGCCGGAGCAAGACGGGCCAGGGCCGGCGGGAAGCCAGGTCGGCAGAGATCAACGCCAGGAAGGTAGAAGAGGTCGCCCAGGAACCGAGGGAGACCAAGAAGGCGGCAGGAAGAGTGAGGGACAGGGGGGGGGGGGGGGGGGGGGGGGGGGGGGGGGGGGGGGGGGGGGGGCGGGGGGGAGGGGGGGGGGGGGGGGGGGGGGGGGGTGGGGGGGGGGGGGGGGGGGGGGGGGGGGGGGGGGGGGGGGGGGGGGGGGGGGGGGGGGGGGGGGGGGGGGGGGGGGGGGGGGGGGGGGGGGGGGGGGGGGGGGCGGGGGGGGGGGGGGGGGGGGGGGGGGGGGGGGGGGGGGGGGGGGGGGGGGGGGGGGGGGGGGGGGGGGGGGGGGGAGGGGGGGGGGGGGGGGGGGGGGGGGGGGGGGGGGGGGGGGGGGGGGGGGGGGGGGGGGGGGGGGGGGGGGGGGGGGGGGGGGGGGGGGGGGGGGCGGGGGGGGGGGGGGGGGGGGGGGGGGGGGGGGGGGGGGGGGGGGGGTGGGGGGGGGGGGGGGGGGGGGGGGGGGGGGGGGGGGGGGGGGGGGGGGGGGGGGGGGGGGGGGGGGGGGGGGGGGGGGGGGGGGGGGGGGGGGGGGGGGGGGGGGGGGGGGGGGGGGGGGGGGGGGGGGGAGGGGGGGGGCGGGGGGGGGGGAGGGGGGGGGGGGGGGGGGGGGAGGGGGGGGGGGGGGGGGGGGGGGGGGGGGGGGGGGGGGGGGGGGGGGGGGGGGGGGGGTGGGGGGGGGGGGGGGGGGGGGGGGGGGGGGGGGGGGGGGGGGGGGGGGGGGGGGGTGGGGGGGGGGGGGGGGGGGGGGGGGGGGGGGGGGGGGGGGGCGGGGGGGGGGGGGGGGGGGGGGGGGGGGGGGGGGGGGTGGGGGGGGGGGGGGGGGGGGGGGGGGGGGGGGGGGGCGGGGGGGGGGGGGGGGGGGGGGGGGGGGGGGGGGGGGGGGGGGGGGGGGGGGGGGGGGGGGGGGGGGGGGGGGGGCGGGGGGGGGGGGGGGGGGGGAGGGGGGGGGGGGGGGGGGGGGGGGGGGGGGGGGGGGGGGGGGGGGGGGGGGGGGGGGGGGGGGGGGGGGGGGGGGGGGGGGGGGGGGGGGGGGGGGGGGGGGGGGGGGGGGGGGGGGGGGGGGGGGGGGGGGGGGGGGGGGGGGGGGGGGGGGGGGGGGGGGGGGGGGGGGGGGGGGGGGGGGGGGGGGGGGGGGGGGGGGGGGGGGGGGGGGGGGGGGGCGGGGGGGGGGGGGGGGGGGGGGGGGGGGGGGGGGGGGGGGAGGGGGGGGGGGGGGGGGGGGGGGGGGGGGGGGGGGGGGAGGGGCGGGGGGGGGGGGGGGGGGGGGGGGGGGGGGGGGGGGGGGGGGGGGGGGGGGGGGGGGGGGGGGGGGGGGGGGGGGGGGGGGGGGGGGGGGGGTGGGGGGGGGGGGGGGGGGGGGGGGGGGGGGGGGGGGGGGGGGGGGGAGGGGGGGGGGGGGGGGGGGGGGGGGGGGGGGGGGGGGGGGGGGGGGGGGGGGGGGGGGGGGGGGGGGGGGGGGGGGGGGGGGGGGGGGGGGGGGGGGGGGGGGGGGGGGGGGGGGGGGGGAGGGGGGGGGGGGGGGGGGGGGGGGGGGGGGGGGGGGGGGGGGGGGGGGGGGGGGGGGGGGGGGGGGGGGGGGGGGGGGGGGGGGGGGGCGGGGGGGGGCGGGGGGGGGGGGGGGGGGGGGGGGGGGGGGGGGGGGGGGGGGGGGGGGGGGGGGGGGGGGGGGGGGGGGGGGGGGGGGGGGGGGGGGGGGGGAGGGGGGGGGGGGGGGGGGGGGGGGGGGGGGGGGGGGGGGGGGGGGGGGGGGGAGGGGGGGGGGGGGGGGGGGGGGGGGGGGGGGGGGGGGGGGGGGGGGGGGGGGGGGGGGGGGGGGGGGGGGGGGGGGGGGGGGGGGGGGGGGGGGGGGGGGGGGGGGGGGGGGGGGGGGGGGGGGGGGGGGGGGGGGGGGGGGGGGGGGGGGGGGGGGGGGGGGGGGGGGGGGGGGGGGGGGGGGGGGGGGGGGGGGGGGGGGGGGGGGGGGGGGGGGGGGGGGGGGGGGGGGTGGGGGGGGGGGGGGGGGGGGGGGGGGGGGGGGGGGGGGGGGGGGGGGGGAGAGGGGGGGGGGCGGGGGGGGGGGGGGGGGGGGGGGGGGGGGGGGGCGAGGGGGGGGGGGGGGGGGGGGGGGGGGGGGGGGGGGGGGGGGGGGGGGGGGGGGGGGGGGGGGGGGGGGGGGGGGGGGGGGGGGGGTGGGGGGGGGGGGGGGGGGGGGGGGGGGGGGGGAGGGGGGGGGGGGGGGGGGGGGGGGGGGGGGGGGGGGGGGGGGGGGGGGGGGGGGGGGGGGGGGGGGGGGGGGGGGGGGGGGGGGGGGGGGGGGGGGGGGGGGGGGGGGGGGGGGGGGGGGGGGGGGGGGGGGGGGGGGGGGCCGTTTTAGGTAAATACTGTTAAATAGGATTTATTGTAAGATATTGTGTGCTTTGTGT